GAGTGCTCTCAATTTCAAACAATACGTAGTTATGATCGCTGAGAGTTTCCCTTTCACTGACTTCCCAGTTTATTAAGTATATATATTAAGTATTAAAAAAACTACCTGGCCTAGCTAAAATTGTATAGCCTAAAACAGCCTAAAAGTCAAATTTAGTAATTACCACAGCCACTGTGATATAAAGAGAAGATATGTGGCTATCTATTTCAAAGATTAAATTGTTCAAATGTCATATAATAATGGCGATAGCTGTCATGGAATTGAGCGATTACAAAATTATCATAAATTATTTTTTTCAAATGGAAAGTCACTTTTTTATTTCACTAATGAAACGGTTTTTCAATTTGTTACTTTTTAACTATACATGTTCCTATACCTAAAATAAATCTTTTTTAAGTTATTTAATATTGAGTTTGAAAACGTATATTTTTCTTGATTTCATATAAATTCCTTTAATATTAAGTGTCAAACAAACTGCCTGCCTAGGAGTTTAAAAAGTGTATTTATTAAAGTATATCTCGTATTTTTTCACTCTTTAGTGATATCTAATAGTTGATATTATTAATAATATTCCGTATGATCAAAAAAAAAAAAATAGCGCAAAGTTGGCTCAAAAATGATGCTGCTTTTTGAACAAAGCGTCACAATATGACATGGTCAGATCTATTGTTTTACATCACCTGACGTTTAAAGTCGTAGGCTACTTGTTAAAGTCAAGAAAAATATACGCTTTAAAACTAATTCTTAAATAACTTAAAAACGATTTATTTTAGGTATAGGAACATGTATAGTTAAAAAGTAACGAATTGAAAAGCCTTTTCACTAGTGAAATAAAAGAGGGGATTTCCATTCGAAAAAAATGATTTGTGATAATTTTTTAATCGCTCAATTCTTTGACAGCTGCGGCCCTTATTATATGACTTTCGTACAATTTAATTTTTGAAATAGATAGCTACATGTTTTCTCTTTATGGCACAGTGGCTGTGGTAATCACTAAACTTGACGTTTAGGCTATACACATATTTTTGACAGGCATCGTTCAAAAATTTTAAATATTTTTTTTCTGAAAAACGGTTAATGTTAGAGATAGAGTGTATTAAACACTTGATATTTTAAATCAAAATTCATAAAAATTTACAGAGAATTTAAGTACATAATAATAAATGGGGACACCCATTTAAAATAAGAAAGTTGCTGTGAACTTCCGGTATTTCCGGAAGTGCCGTCATATTGAAAATATTTTTAATCGATAGATCTCGTTGTGAAACTATGATGTGCAAAAAATCTCCGAGCTAAATGTTGTACTTCTCTAGAAACTTCTAATGCACGCTCATCTTGGGACACCCTGTATACAGGGTGGTCCGAACTGTACTCCGGAAACTTCGGCAGCATATTCTGCAGATAAAAATAAGTAAAAAAGTTCGTATAAATGTATGTCCTAAAATGCTTAGTTTCGGAGATACAGGGTGGAGAAGTTTCATTATTATTTCGATTTTTTCTAAATAATTTCTGAAGTAACGTCAATATTTGGATGAAAATTGGTGTCTGAGAGTTTTGTGACATGAGAAATTTGAATTTGACTCCGGAACGGATAGTGTGCATTGTCCTATTCATTTACATGATATAATATTTTATGTAAACGGAAGGGAAACTGATACGGAAGGTATAGTGAGAATCAACCTTTATAAATCTCCGTCCGTACCTGTATAAAACTACTGAGTAAAAAAATATACATTTACAACATTTCTTACGTGAAAAATGTCTCTTGGTAAAAATCGCTAGGAGTAATGGATTTCGAGATATTTGGAATCGAAATTATCAAAACCTGTCATAATTGACATAAATTAAACATGTTGACTAAATAGTTATTAGACTGAAATCATAAATTTGAAATGTTTTTGTGCCAAAAGTTGAACAGAAACTGTTTTATCATCATTTTTTGCAGAAAAAATTATCATTAATTTAAAAAAAAATAAAAATTGCCCAAGGCCAGTAAGCGAGGGTTTTAGGGTCCGAATTCTGAACACCTGCACCGATTGACGTGAAATTAACAGTGAATAGAGATATATGTAAGAAACAAAAGTTACATAGTAGCGATGTGTGTTTTCACCCTGGGGGTGAGTACCACCCCTTCTCGAGGGTGAAAAATAAATCACCCATTTTAATTACAAAAATCAAAAAAAGGATGAATTGTTCTATAACATTTTTTCACAAAAAAATAATATTTTCTAGTTATTTAGGATTGAAAATGTTGATTTTTCATGTAGAAACTGCATAATATTTTTTTGCCAATTTTTATAAATAACTCGAAAACCTTGCGTTTTATCGCAAAACTCATACAAAGCAAAAATGAAACTTTTGGAATAGCTAAACGATCCATTTTTGGTTGATTTCCGTAGGTGTAATAATAGCCGAGTTATCATTCTGTAAACATGATTTTTTATTTTTCGAAAACTAAATTGGAAACTTTTACTTAAAATAATGGTGAAAGAACACATTTTTCGAAGAAAATGGATATGACCGTTTTTAAAGTGCTTGAAAAGACCTTTTAAATGCTTTCTTAAAAAAGTTCGTAGCTCAAAAACTCGCGGAGTTATGATAAAAATAATATGGTCACCTCATTATTTCAGAAAAAAATTAACAAAATCTATGACTAAAATCATAAAAATAAAAACTAAGTGTATTACATGTACAGTTGGCTATATTTAGGTACTAACAATTGACTCTGCAAGTTCGAGCGGTTTAGAATGCCCAAATTTGGAAAAAAAGTTGAAAATAATGAAAAACAAATAGTTTTTGTTTTTTTAAAAAAGTTTAATTTTTTTACATATCTCAAAAACTAAGCAAGATACGTAAAAATGCAATAGAGGAAAATTGAAGCTCTTTTTTTTTGCAATATTTTTGCTCTCTTACAATTTTTCTGTAGATCTCTTTATTTCGTAGATATTACGTTTTTTTAGTTTGACTTGCATGTAAGGACCCACCGTCTATGAGCACTTAAAACCCAAAAATCTCGTAAAAATGAAGAGTTCAAGACTGTTCAGCTATAGATATTAATTTGTAGCTCATGTAATTTTCTACCAATTGATAGTTTTTATTTTTATGATTTTAGTCATAGATTTTGTTGTTAATTTTTTTCCGAAAAAATGAGGCGACCAATTTATTTTTTTCATAACTCCGCGAGTTTTTGAGCTACGAACTTGCAAAGACCTTTGAAAGACATTTAAAAGGTCTTTTCAAGCACTTTAGAATTTTTTAGAATTTAGAATGAGTGGGAGGGGGGTTAATCACTTCGACCTTACAGATCCATTGTGTCCCCCTTTCTTGAATCATAACTCATCACACAGTCCCAGGGCTTTGACAAAAGCCAGTATCTGGGACGGTTTTATAGAGGGTAGTTCTCCATCTCCAATATCAGTCGTACCAAAATTCATGGCACGAATGGTTGTCGTCTCTGCGCACTCAGTGATGAGGTGTACTGGTGTTTCCCCATCTTCCCCACAGAATCTGCATTCGCCGTTTCTTCTTAGTTTCAATCTACTGAGGTGTTCATTGAGGAGACAGTGTCCTGTTAAAACCCCGTGACAATCCGAAGATTGTTCTTACTCAGACCCAGGAAGATCTGTGATTTTTCTTGATCATAAGCCCTCAGAAACTTCTTCGAGTGTCTTAGACCATTGCAAGATTTCCATTCTAGGATGCGGATGGAATCTTCCAAGTTCTTGAGTTCCGCCTTGAGTTTTTACCACTTGGAAAGCAGAACGGTTCTGGTCCAGTTAGTGGAGTGTTCGCTCCTTTCCTAGCTAGATTATTTGCTTTTTCATTGCCTTCTATCCCTTGGTGAGCAGGCACCCAGTGTAGGAGGACTTTGTTTTCTTTGCCTAATTTATTCAGCTTCTCTATGCATTCTTTGACCAATTTCGAATTTTCAAGCACTTTAAAAGCGGTCATATCATTTTCTTCGAAAAATGTGTTCTTTCGCCATTATTTTACGGTAAAAGGTTGCAATTTAGTTTTCGAAAAATAAAGAATCAAGTTTACAGAGTGATAACTCGGCTATTACTACACCTACGGTAAACCACAAAAAATGTATCGATTCCCTATTCCAAAAGCTTCATTTTTGCTTTATATGAGTATTGCGATAAAACGCAAGATTTTCGAGTTATTTATAAAAAATTGCAGAAAAATATGCAGCTTTTAGATGAAAAATCAACATTTTCAATCCTAAATAACTCGGATAATAGTAATTTTCTGAAAAAATGTTATCGAACATTTTTTGCTTTGATTTGCATTCATCCCTTTATTGATTTTTGTAATTAAAATTGGTGATTTATTTTTCACCACCGAGAAGAGGTGGCACTCATCCCCAGGGTGAAAGCACACATCGCTACTATGTAACTTTTGTTTCTTACATATATCTCTATTGACTGTTAAAATTTCACGTCAATCGGTGCGGGTGTCAAGAATTCGGAGGAAATACCCTATTTTTATCCTCGCTTACTGGCCTAAAATTTATTCTACAAACGTGTTTATTTTTCGTCAATAATGACATGTATTGACTATTTCCATGCCAAATATCTTAAGAACGGTTGCTCGTAGCAATTTTTACAAAGAGATATTTTTTACGTAAAAAGTCACAGAGATGTATATTTTTTCGCTAGGTAGTTTTATACAGGCCAAAAAGTGATTACGCTTCAAAACAGTTAAAACACATGTAGGTGGCGCCCTCTACTAGTACGAGTGATATTGACATCAAAATCAAATTTCTAATGTCAAAAAATTCCTAGACACCAATTTTCATCCAAATTAACGTTACTTCAGAAACGTTACTTCAGAAATTATTTAGAAAAAATCGAAATAAAAATGAAATATCTACACCCTGTAGCTCTAAAACTAAGCATTTTAAGACATACATTTTTTACTTATTTTTATCTGCAGAATATGCTGCCGAAGTTTCCGGAATACAATTCGGACCACCTTGTATATTTTTGTTATTTCAGGAAAGATTATCAAAAACTTGGTTATTCTACGGCTTATGCCGAAGATTGGGCTCCAATAGCTACTTTCAATTATTTTAAAAAGGGATTTAGATATCCACCTACAGATTACTACTTCAAGCCATACATGGACGTTTTAAAATATCTAGAAACAAAAATTCAGGATGATATGCCTTTTTGCGCAGGTCCCGAGTCTCAAGGTTTGTAATTTATTCATTTTTTAGGCGTAAAGCAGAATTTTGAAAAGTTATACAGTCTCACCCTGTATAACTTTAATAAATTAATTTTGAAAATTGGTCAATTTAAAAACAAGTTACTCCTTTATTTTAAATGGAACGCCCAGTAGGTTTGATATATCTTCAAAATACCATTAAGGTTGTTGGTCAGACAAAGATTTTCCTAGGTATTTTTATTTTTACGATTTTTCTTCAGTATACGGGTTGTTCACCACATACGACACGGAGTATTGTAGCTAAACGATTGGATTTTTACAAATTGTAAGTTTTGGGTTCGTTGAAGGTCTATTAGAGCTACAATTTAAAAATATTTTTACAAGATACAGAGTGTCCCAAATAAGTAAAAAATATTATAGTTGTATTTTTTTAAATGGAACACCCTGTATATTATTCTATTTTTGGATTCTATGCTTGAAATAAAGGTAAATTTGATTAAGGTTTATCACACTTTAAACCTTACCGTTTTCAAATATTTCAATTTTATGAAATTAATAATTATAAAATTTTTATTTCTCTAGGCGTATTAAAGTTTTTAAAACTAAATATTTACTGAATATTATCAATTGACAGATTTTGTGTTGCAATAATAAAATTTACTACCTTATACAGAGTGTCCAAAAATTTATATTATATAATAACTAGTTTTAAACTGCAATAACTAACGGCTGTTTAAATTTAAATGGAACACCCTTATATTTATGTGAATCAGATGTACAATGTAATTGTTTATGAAATTGTATTATACCATTTTTCACCCATCTCTTGAAGTTTTCGTAGAAAATGCGTTTTGTTATAATTTGGACCTCATTTATCATTATACCCACGGAATATTGACATTTCAGATTTTTTTATAGCACCATAATATGTACAAAATGTACAGGTGATAAATATTGCAAGCCCATTGGCATACAAAAAAAACTATTTAAATCTATGTAAAAGAGTATACCAATTAAATATACCACCATTATTTCCTACAAAAAAACACCAAAAGTTAGTTAATTATATACTTTTAAATTGTTTTAATTAATAAATTATTCTAAATAAATGTGGATTTGGCTCAGAAATCAAAATAATAATAAGTTATGAAAATGAATGTTTCTGTTTTTATAAATAAGCATTCGTCAATAAATGAAATAAAATTTATAAGGTGTTACTTTTTACCACACTGTCTAATACACACATAACATTCAGTTTTTTAGTATTTGGAACAGTTATTACTTTAACGTAAACAGTCAATTTAATGTAGTTTGAATACTGGGAGCATATTAATTGGTCCTCTTTAACAAAAAATATTTAAACAGTTTTATTTTTATTTTTTAATTAACTAAGCGAACTATATCGACAATATTAGTATCTGTACCGTTTGAAAATTTGTCACATCGTTAAAAATAAGCTAAAATGTCAATATTCCATGGGTATAGTGATAAATGAGGTCTAAATTATAAGAAAATGCATTTTCTATGAAAACTTGAAGAGATGAGTAAAAAATGGAACAATACAATTTGATAGACAATTACATTGTGCATCTGATTCACGTAAAATATATAGGGTGTTCCATTTAAATTAAACAAGTTATTGCAGTTTAAAGCTAGTAATTATTTAATATAAATTTTTGGACACTTTGTATAAGGTAGTAAAATGTTTATTATTGCAACACAATATCTGATCAATAAATAATCTTCAGTAAATATTTAGTATTAAAAACTTTGATACCCTTGGAGAAATAAAGCCTTCATTTTTTTACTGCAATTTCATAAAATTGAAAATATTTCAAAGACGGTAAGGTTTAAGTGTGATAAACCTTAATCAAATTTACCTTTATTTCAATCGTAGAATTTAAAAATAGAATAATATACAAGGTGTTCCATTTAAAAAAATACAACTATAATATTTTTTACTTATTTGGGACACTCTGTATTTTGTAAAAATATTTTTAAATTGTAGCTCTAATACACCTTCAACGAACCCAAAACTTACAATTTGTAAAAATCTAATCGTTTAGCTACAGTATTCCGTGTCGTATGTGGTGAACAAACCTGTATAGATCATTATTATTTCATAAACTCTAAATGGCTGTGATACTTTTCGTTAATTTCACAAAAATTAAAGGATGTGGAGTAAAATATTCCACGGTAATAAAAAGATACACAAATAAAAAATATTTTAATTATTACAGAATTAAAACTAGATATATAAACGTATAATTATGTGACAAAAATTAGCTAGATGAAATCAAATGCTCAAAAGCTCAAAAGATCTTTTCATGTTAAGAGGCTTTATGTGGATTTCTACTTCGAAAACCAGTCATAATAATTTCTCTCATGTTGTCGACAATAGTTGGTCGGATTTTGTAAACACTGTCTGTATAAATTAGGAACATTTAAGCATTCTATTAATTGGTGATTGCACAGTACAGCCACCAATTAATAGAATCGTATCAATTCTCTGATGTAGACTGACTGACAGAAAATATGATAACAAGTTGTTAAAGTTGAAGTAATTTGACAGCTATGTTGAGGTAACGTCAGTCACCTAGATTTTATCAAATAATAAAGATCTGCTGACACTAAATCATAAAAATTAAAGAAAAAATCTATAAAACTCTTTGCTTCAGGAGTAAGCTCGGGGGTAAGTAACAAATAAAAGAGTAGCTTTCTTTTAAAATTCACAAATTTCAACTTTTTGGGCCAAGTGTTAATTTAATTGAAAGTACAATGGAAATTTTCACTACATATTAGATATCAGGCTAAATCCGATAAATTCCAATTTAGGAAGCTTTTACTAAAATTTAAAATATTTTCTTCATTTTCAGAAAAAGTGAAATATGTTAAAACCCTTATATTTTAGTCATATACTTCTCTAATAAAACTAACCTTTACTTTTCTTCTACAATCCAAAAATCAATTAATAGACACTTGTGTGGTGGTTTCATTACAAAAAACACAACTTTGGTATGTATCTTTTTTGGGGACACTCTGTAGAACTCTCTACATTTTTAAAAAATTCTCTAAATCAACCTAATATAAGTTCACAAAATTTCATTTCAATACAGGTGGCGCCTCTCATACGCCGCAGAAGCTCCAAGGAGAACAGTAGTTTATATCGAGATGAAATTTTGGCAGCATATGTAGGTTAACTGAAATAAAAGTATTGTAATTGTGTTCCATTATAAAAATATAGAGAATTATATAGGGTGTCTCTGATCTGTAAAAAAGTTACAGATCAAAGTTGTGTTTTTTTCTAATGGAACACCCTATATATTAATTGATTTTTGGATTCCAGGAAAAAATAAAGGAGTTTTATTGAAGAAGCATATACCTAAAATCTAAGGATTTTGACATACGTATTTCACATTTTGTGAAAATGAAGAGAAAATTTTAAATTTCGTTAACAGCTACCTAAATTTTAATTGACTTTGTATAGCCTTATATTTAATTACAGTATCCATTTTATGTTAAACCAAATTGAAATTTGACCAGAAAAGTTATACAGGGTGACACAATATTAATATGGAACATTAGTCACTTTTAAAAGCAAGTTACTCCTTTATTTTAAATGGAACCTAACCTAACCTAACCTAACCTAGTACATTTTTCCAGTGTTCAATGGGGAATTTATATATCTTCAAAATATTACTAAGGTTGGCTACCCCTCAGACAAAGATTTTCTTAGATATTTTATTTTTTATGATTTTTATTATTTGAAAAATTCTAGGGTGGCTGTGCGATATACCTTTTGTTAATTTAACAAAAATGAAAGATTGTAGATTCCGTTGAATATCGGAATAATATACTGGGTGTTCCATTTAAAATAAAAGAGTAACATTAAAGGTGACCAATGATCAATATTAATTTTGTCTCACCCTGTATAACTTTTTGTGTCAAGTTTTAATTTGATTTAAAGTACAATAGTTAATTTAACTACATATTAGGCTATACCGAGTAAATTCCAATTTCGGTAGCTTTTATTATAATTTAAAAATTGTTCTTTATTTCTAGAAAATGTTAAATATGTCAAAAACCATACATTTTAGTCATATACTTATAATATATAATACTCTTATAAAACTCACCTTTATTTTTCTCCCAGAATCCGAAAATTAATTAATATATAGGGTGTTCCATTATAAAAAACGCAACTTTGATATGTAACTTTTTTGGGGGACACCCTGTAGAACTCCCTATATTTTTAAAAAGTGCTCTAATTTAACCTACATATGCTCACAAAATTTCGTTCTCCTTGGAGCCTCCGCGGCGTATATGAAGCGCCACCCTGTACAAACTCGCGCCATCCTGTACTATATTATATCTGTACTAGTTGAAGCCTGGCGCATCCGCCGATCAGGTAAAAAATACTTTTTATTTATTTTAATTAAATGAAAAAATAAATAAATCCGGCGACGACAGTTTTAAGAAGAGCCAATTAGCTATCTTTTAGTAAAAAAAGCAACTTTCTTTTTAGAGCAAGTCGTTACTTCAGTAGAGACGACACAGATAAACATTAGCATTTTATATATGTAGATTTGCTTGACAAGGGTATTACTCATTAATTAAATTTTTTAGGTGATAGAACGCTGAACTTAGCGTACGATTTTGCAACTACCTTAAAAGACTCCCCTAGTTTCGGTATATTTTGGATGAACACCTTCAGTCACAATGTCATCACAACACCAAAAACGATGGACGAAAGAGTCAAAACATTCTTCGAAAAACTGAAATCCTCCGGAGTATTAGACGAAAGCATCGTGGTACTTCTCAGCGACCATGGAGTAAGATTTGGAAACATTATTAACACAACTAGAGGTTATTATGAACTAAGACTGCCAATGAACTACGTGTCACTCCCGGATTGGTTTATAACGGCTTATCCCAAAGAAACAAGGAATTTTGATGATAACACGAAGTTGCTGACTAGTACTTATGATATGTATATGACTCTTCAACATATTTTATCCTTGTCTGGAACGAATTATACAATGCGTCCATCTTTAGCCTGTCCGAATTGTAGATCGTTGTTTGAGAAAATTCCGCTTGAGAGGAGCTGTAATGATGCGGGTATGACTAAACTTTTTATTCTAGTATTCTTTTTGCGACATTTTTGGTTTATGTTTGTTTATATGTAATGGAATATTTTTCAGGTTAGGAAAAAACCTAGTTTAATTTAATATTTTTATTTAATTTAATGGACACACTAAAAAAATATAATTTAACGGCACATGCGGTATTTTAATAATTATAAATTTAAAAAAGTTCCACACGTGTGTAGATTTTTCTCAAAAGTCGTAATCAATGCTTAAAATAAGGGAATCTTCTTTCTGAAAAAATAACGTAACTTTCTGTTAGGCTTTGGCTACACTGAAGAGCGGGCGTGCAGCGAGCGGCTAGCGAGCGAGCGATAATCTGTTCGGCGATTTTGTGGACATACCGAAGAGCGATTAGTTTGTCTTGTTTCATTGTTAGTATAGGTTGTGCAAAAATGTCGTTATCCAGGGTGAAAAGAAATATTCTAGTGACTGGTAATCTCTATATGCAATGGAATATATTTTTCAAAAAATCTCGAAAGTATGGAACGCATATTAATGTATTTCACCTCTATTTTGAGTTAAGAGATTTTCCTGACAGATTCTTTGAATATCTACGTATGTCTAGAAATACGTTTGATTTTTTACTTAGCAAGATTAAAAACAGAATTACGAAAAGAAAAACAAATTATATGTACGCCTATATCAGCCGAGGAAAGGCTAGTGGTAACTTTAAGGTAAGAACCATATTTACTCTTTAGGTTTGCAAAGTATATTTCATATTATAAAATTATAAGAAAATACATTATATTCTTTACAACTTCCGATATGTTGTGTATACACCATTAACAACCCTATGTTCTATCTGCTGTGATTCACCAACATTTTGTTCCCCTTGCTGTACATCATCAATATTGTGATCCACTAATTGCTTCTTTTTTTTCATTTTTATAATTAGTGATAATATCTCAGATTTTATTTCCAGTTTTTCTAAATCTGTGAAATCAGCTACATGAGGTAGTAAACTTTTAAAAAACAGCAAATCCGCATTTTCTTCTTTGCAGTCTTGTTCTAAAAGCTGAACTTTCCTATTTTCCAGTTCCAAAAACTTGTCCTGCACATCTGGTTTTGTTCTCTTTTGTCGATTAAAAATTGAGCCACTTACTGCTGCTCTGTGGGATAGCCCTGAAGAATGTGAGTTTTGAAGAGACATATTATTATAATCATCCTCCTGTCCATTTTCGGATTCACTTGAATCTCCCGTTTCATAAAGTGAAGTCCCTTGCGTTTGCGAATTAGTTTCCATTGGTAAATTTCCTTGCGTCTGCAAAGGAACGACAAAATCTCTTAAGAAGCACATCTGGTCAAAATACTGCCATTTGGGTTTCCCAGGTAGTGAGGGATCTCGAGATTTCGGAACTGGTATTTTTTTAACCTCCTTTCTAAACTGATCCTTCAAATTCTTCCATTTGAGTTTTGCATCGGAAACTGAAAATAAAATCATTGGAATACTAAAAAATGCAACTAATACAAAATAATATGCACAAATGAAAACTTATTTTTGTTTTAGGTATTTGGCAACTGGCGCTTCATTAGATCTTTGGCGTTTTCCTTCAGAATGGGAAAATCTACAATTAGCAAAATAGTTTTTGAGACTTGTGCAGTTATATGGGAAGAGCTTGTTGACGAATTTATGCCAGTTCCTACTGTAATACATTTAAAAAAAGTTATAGGTGACTATTATAATCGGTGGAAATTTCCAAATTGCTTCGGTTCTATAGATGGAAAATACTGTCAGATTAAATGTCCAACGAATTCTGGGTCACATTATTTTAACTATTTGCACTACTTTTCTGTGGTTTTACAAGCTGTTGCTGACGCAGATAAAAAAAATTTTGACGATAGAAGTTGGAGGGTGAGGTAAACAGAGTGACGGTGGGACTTTTGCAGGATCAACACTATTTAATTTTTTGGAAAGTAATATGTTCAATGTGCCTCAGTCAGCCAACCTACCAAATACAAATATTAAACTACCAAACTTCTTAATAGGAGATGAAGCATATCCTCTGAAGACATATTTAATGAGGCCTTATCCAAAAAGAGCTCTTAATCCTCAGAAAGAACACTTTAATAAATATCTCTCTAGTGCTCGGAAATGTATAGAATGCGCATTTGGAATAATGTGTGCCAAGTGGCGTTTTCTAAATAAAGATATAGAGACACTGCCTGACAGAGCTTGCATACTTATCAAGTGCGCCTGTATATTACATAACTTAATAAGGGAAAAAGATGGCGACAGTGATCTTCATTATTGTCAAGTAATGCAACAGATGTCATTACGATTAGACTGTACTGATCGACCTGCTTCTGGTGGCAGAACGCATAATAGAGGAAGTACAACAGCAATTCAAATTCGTGAAGAACTTACAAATTACTTATTTCAATTGCCTCGATAATTATTGTAATGTAATTCACATTTATATTTCATTATATCGAATAAATTAATGTGTGTATGTATAATGTAAATAATAAAAAATCCTAATTTCTATTGCTATTAATTGTTATATTTATAATTATTTTTCAATACTTACCACTACAATTACATGCCGCAGCAACCTCTTGCCATATTTTTTTTCAATAGCATTTTTGTTTTATAGAGTGGATGACTATCTTGCCACAAAGGTCTCCGTGTTTGCACTTCGGATATAAGAAGTTCTTTATTTACGTTTTTGCCACTGCTACACATTTTGTCACGCTTTATTCTCAATTATATTTATCATACTGACAACAAAAATAATAATAAAAACAAGTTTCTACATATCATAAATATTTACTTCGGCCGTATTCGTCACAATTCGGTGTCCCTTCACAAAATTCGCACGCTCGAAATTCAAACAGATTTGTTTTTTAATAATTCGCTCGCTGCACGCTTGAATATCGCCCGCCCGCAAAAGTTCAGTGTCGTCACTTGTATTGTAGCCCAGTGTTTAGAAAAATCGCTCGCTCGCTGGACGCCCGCCCGCTCTTCAGTGTAGCCAAAGCCTTAGGCTTAAAATCCCACCGCTGCCATCAAATTTTATGTGAAAATAAAAATCTAATATATCTTCCAATGTCAAATTTGACAAATAACGGAAAGCAACGGGATCATTTTTATTTGCCTTTAATCAAATTTGACTATAAAATAAAGTTACGAGTCCGAGTACTTATGAACTGTACAGGGTGTCTCATTTTCATTTAAATAGTTTTTAAAATAGTTAAAAATGCATTTTTTTCTTTGTTTATGTTAAGTGGCTCACCCTTATAACTTTTATATTTTTTTCAGTTAAAAAAACGAGATTTGGTATATTAGTATACGACATAAATTAGGATTGATTGACGTATTCAATTGTGTTCGTCACTTCCGGTTTCACCGGAAATGACTACAACTTTTGATTTTTAAATGGTACGCTCGGTATTTTATACTTTATTCGATAAAAAATGACACTCTGAATAGAATGACATCATATGTCAACTTTTGACATTTTCGCATATGGTTTATTTGAAATTGTAACATGCGGTTCATAACGACAATTTGACTCGAAATACCAAGTGTGTGGTATCAAATTATTCTTAAAAAAATACCTTTTCCAAATATGCTAATGAGCCACCCTCGTTCCATTTGAAAAAATTGAGATATGATTAAAAATACGATTTGGGCATCTTTTAACTGGCCAGGACAAGACACTAAAGTCATTAGACGATCAAATCCATTTTTTCCAAGGCTTTTTAAAGTTTTTGAGCGAATATGTCAAAAAATGACATATGATATGTCTATTCAGAGTGTCATTTTCTATCAAATAAAGTAAAAAAATACCCAGGATGCCATTTAAAAATCAAAAGTTGTAGTGATTTCCGGTGAAACCGGAAGTGACCGAAAATTTTTTTTATTGAATATGTCAATCAATCCTAAGTTATGTCATATATTAACATACCAAATCTCGTTTTTTTTATCTGAAAAAATAAAAAAGTTATTGAGGTGAGCCACTTTTGAGATGCACCCGGTAGAATATATGAATTTTTAGAAAGCTCATTACAAGGCAAATAAAATAAAAAAATATGTATACAAGGTGTCCCGTTAAAAAAAATCGTTTGAGACATATTTCGGAAATGAAAGCTCCCAGCAAAAAACTAGTTATGTCACTGGCATCTACGTAATATACTTTACAGGACTCAGTTTTCACCGTTTCGATAAGTTATAAGATAACCAAGATGGACCAACGAAAGGAGTCGAAAAATGCAACATTTTCAAATTCGCCCTGTATTTCAGAAGCAAAGGGGGTTAGAACAAATCTGTATGTACAGTGGCGCATTAAGACAAATTTGCGCCCTAGGCTAATAAAAATTTGGCGCCTATTCACCCCCATCTACGCAGAAAATTTAACTTAAATGTGTTATCTGTGGTTTAACCCATTTTCCAAAAAAAATACACTCACTATGGAACTTTAATTACTTCAGCTCTCACCGCCTATGTGTTCCCAATCGATTTAAAACAAGAGTATGTGAATAACTTGATTAGTTTAGGAGTTATCGCGTAGGAAAGGTAAAAAAACATGGTTATACAGTTTTGACAGATTTTTGACATTTTCAGGGATAAAAAATTTCTGACCCCCCCCCCCCCCACCAAAAAAAAAAGGTCGTAATTAGTAATTTCGCATGCACAAAGCCCTAACAGATCATTTCATAAAGAGTTTATGTGGTTATACCTTCAAAAAAAATTTTTTCGAGAAGGAAGCGACTTTTTTCAGTGATTTTACTCCACTAAAAGAGGAGTTTTGCCAAATTGACTGCACAAAGACGCCGCGCCGCGCCGCGCCGTTGGCGGCGGTCTTTTTCGTTTGCGGCACTTTGTCGATAAATATCAAAGGATTATCGCGACAATGGCAATTTTTGATCCAATTATTTATGTGTTTTGTTTTTAAAGAAATACACGCCAAAAATTTTGAATGTCCAGTTTGGCCTACAAACCAGGGATAATTATGGCGCCGCCGTGGCGCCTATATTTCTTCGGCGCCCTAGGCTATAGCCTAGTTAGCCTATTGGGTAATCCGCCTCTATGTATGTAGCATCTCTAGTATCATAAGAAAGTAGAACAGTGATGTGAATACAGCTTCTTTGTATCTCTACTCATAAACGAGAAACCATAACCCATACGAAAATGGGAGACTTTGTGTATGACTTTTCAACATAGTCTAATGATTTTCTGGAAGGAATTATACTTCACTATCATTAGCCTGTCTAAAATGAAGATAATTATTTAAAAAATTCCGTTTGAGAGAATCTGTAATGATGCAAGTATGGCTAAAATAATAATTATTCTCTAGTATTATTCTTAACGTTGTTATAGAATTTAACTAGAATAATAATTTTAGAACTTAAAATGCATTTGTTTACATACAATGCCCAGTGAGTATTTTCATCAAACGGAGAATACGTCAACATTGCTTCTAAACAAATTAATTTTAAAGTAAATTATTTTAAGTAAACGTTTTAGTATCTGCCAAAACTAATGTACAGAGTGTCCTATTTTCACAGCATTTGCCGGATATCTCCGTTGTTGTTGAAGATTTGATTGATGAAGATTTGATATTGAGATTTTTGTGGACGTTGACTTATTTTTTGTAAAACTTTCGATTATGTATATAAAATTGTTATACACCACTTTGTTTATGAGATAAAATAAAGGGCGCATAGTTCATTTTTGACAAAATATAGGTAAAAACAGGTGGGCTCAGAAATCAGTGACAACCAAGTAGGGTTTAGAAGAGGCATGGGTACAAGAGAGGCTCTGTTTAGCATAAATGTGTTAGCACAGAGAGATTAAAAATAAATGTGTTAGTACAGAGATTGGTATGAATCAGGACCTGTATATGTGATTTATAGATTTTGAGAATGCTTTCGATAAAGTTCAACATCATAGACTAATTGAAATACAGGCATGAATATCGATAGCCGATATATCAGGATAATAGCAAATCTATATTGGGGGTAGACAGCGAAGGTTATAGTGGAAGACCAACTTTCTGATAAAGTAAAGATTCTGAACGGCGTTCGTCAAAGACGTATACTTTCTCCGCTATTGTTTAATATATATAGCGAATCAATTTTCCGGGAGGCCTTGACTAGTAGAAAGGAGGGCATCACTATTAATGGGCAGGTCTTAAATAATATGCGGTTCGCGGACGATACCATCCTTATAGCAGACAACGTGGAGGGTCTGCAAACACTTCTACAAAGACTAAACCACACATGTAGAGTATATGGCCTGAAAATGAACCTTAAGAAAACTAAATTTATGATAATCACTAAGAGAGAAGATGTCCAAGCCAATGTTCTAATAGATGATACACCTATGGAGACAGTACAAAAATATAAATATCTAGGCAGTTGGTTGACCGAAAACTTGGATCAATCAGCAATTGTAGCTCGAATAGAAATAGCCAGAGCATCCTTTGTAAAACTCAAAAAATGTCTCTGTAGTGGAGACATCAACTTAAAGCTTGATTAAGAATGCTAAGGGGTTACATATTTGCAACTCTACTCTATGGTTCAGAGACTTGGACACTTAAAAAGGCCGAAATGGAGAAGCTTGAGGCATTCGAAAGATGGTGTTATCGGCGTATGCTGAGGATTACATGGACTGACAAGGACTGACTGTAGAAATGCGACGCAGAATTCAGAAGGACGAAGAGGTGATTAAATTAACCCCTAAAAAGAGAAAATTTGAGTACTTTGGACACATAATGAGAGAACCTAAATATGCCCTGCTGCAGAACATAATAGAAAGAAAGATACAGGGCAGAAGGAGCCAAGGAAGGAGAAGAACCATGGCTCAAGAATTTCAGAGAATGGTTTGGAATGACTTCAAACCAGTTATTCAGAGCAGCCGTTAACAAAGTTAAAATTGCCATGATGATTTCCAACCTCCATTAGGAGGTGGAACCCGAAGAAGAAGAAGGTAAAAACACCATCTTGTATTTCTTGACCCAAACTCGGGTTTCTGTAAAAACGATCACAGTAGATACAATTAAATTATCTCGAGAACGGTTGCTTCTAGCGATTTTTACCAAGAGACATTTTTTACGTAAAAAGTCACAGAATTGTATATTTTTTCACACAGTAGTTTTATCCAGGCACGGACGAAAAGTTATTACCCTTCAAAATAGTTAAAACACATGTAGGTAGCGCCCTCTACAAAAATAAGAGTTATATTGACATCAAAATAAAATTTCTCATGTCAAAAAACTTCCAGACACCAATTTTCATCCAAATGTTGACGTTACTTCATAAATTATTTGAAAAATATCTCGAAATAAAAATGAAACTTCTACACCCTGTATCTCCGAAACTAAGTATCTTAGGATATACATTTATACGAACTTTTTTACTTATTTTTATCTGCAGAATATGCTGCCGAATATTTTCCGGAATACAATTCGGACCACCCTGTATAATATTTTGAGTATTTGTACGGTATTTAGATAAATTCCATTTAAAATGCTTTGCGTTTCTCAGACATGCATAACACGATATTTTAGGTATTCGCGCATACTAATTTCCGGTCGATCATAGTATATCCACAGATAAGCATTAGCCATAAAAATACATCTGCTTGCTTAATAGTTAAATACTACTTTGATTTACATTAGGTCCAATAAAAATATTCATTTATAATAATTATTATTCAACACTAGACACACGACAAATCGATAAATTTAAGCCAATTTGATCAATACACTACTGAGGATTATGTGTTACTAGCGTGTACCAGCGACTTCGTTCGCGTCGAATTAATCATTTGTAATGGTGATGATAAAGCAAAGCAAGAATTTCCATTAACATACAAAATGGATAAAATTTTCTCACATCTATTTCAGCATGAGAAAAAACAATATGGAGATATTATTATATAACTTAGTAATATTTGAGAGGTATTTTCATCTCGTTGGAATTTGACTTTCAAAAAATCCGTTTGCCAAATATAAGCTTTTTACGTCAAGCAGTTTAAGCAGAATCGTGGTTAAGAAATTACCCTACTTTTTGGAACACCTTGTACGATTTAAAAAAAAATAAAATATGTAAAAAAACAAAATAAATTTTGCGTGTCCAAGCATTTTCCCGAAAGACTACCGTTCTTTAAATAACAAATATTGTAATATTTGAGGGGCCTTTTCACCATCTTGGAATTTGAGATTCGAGAAACCCCTCCTTATCGAACTTCTACCTCTACACCCCACAATCAATCCGTTTGCCAAAAATCAGTTTTAAACGTCAAGCAGTTTAAGCAGAATCGTGATTACTCAATGGTCATATTTTATGAAACACCCTGTATAAATTTTAAAAAAAAATTTAAAATATGTAAAAAAACAAAATAAAATATACGCGTTTAAGCGTTTTTTCGGAAAACTTACCGGTTTTTAAATAAAAAATATTCTAATACTTGAGGGGTGGTTTCACCCCCTTAGAAATCGAGTTTTCAAAAATCCCTTTTTATCGAACCTCTACACCCTAAAGTCAATCCGTTTTCCAAAAATCGGCTGTTTACGTCAGGCGCTTTAAGACGGATCGTGATTAATCAATGACCAGATTTTTCGAAATACCCTGTGTACATTTTAAAAAAATATTGAAATATGTAAAAAACAAAATAAAATATACATGTTTAAGCGTTTTTTCGGAAACTTGACCTTTTTTTAAATAAAAAATATTGTAATATTTGAGGGGTTGTTTCACCCCCTTGGAACTGGAATTTCGGAAAATACCTTCTTATCGAACCTCTACACCCTAGAATCAACCTGTATGCCAAAATTGAACTTCTTACGATGAGTGGTTTGATCAGGATCGTGATTAATCAGTGAGTCAGTCACTTAACGATTTTATATATTAGTATAGATTATTCAACACTAGACATACGACAAATCAATAACTTTAAGCAAATTTGATCAATACACTACTGAGAATTATGTGTTATTAGTATTAGTAGGAATTGCTGCTCATGTTGTTGAAGACACAACTGAACATAACACCTCCATTATTTAATAGTCAATTAAGTACAGTAAAAACAATTATTTGTTAATTTTGATATAACAATTCCTTTCTAAATTTTAGGAATTCCGGATATATGGTGCACCTGTAACTTAGATCTCAATACTAGCGAAGACTGAACGAATCCTGTACCCTACAAGGATATAGAAATCAAGAATTACGAGCATCGTAGCAGATCCTTCAATAACAAGTCAGCGTCATGCTTAATAACGACCAGCTTTAGACTGTGAATAAGCTAATCGAGGCTAATAAATATTTATAAGAACATTGTCGTTTCTTAATTTAGTTTCCCTCGATTGTGTTACGTGTAGTTTTTTTTTAACGGAAATGATTTTATCTGCATAATTCTTAATTTCTATATAATAGAAAATCGTGCTTGGCGGTTTTGTTAATTTAGTTGTTCCGCCACGAGGCAACAAAACAAAACAATCTGTTAAAATCGTAATAAATTTGTTTTTAGTAAGAAAATAAATAAGCTTGTATAGAAAAAAAACGTTGACTGTCTAATATATTAATAATTTTGTCATTGTTTTTAGATTAGAATAGATTCTTCGAGGTGGCTATAGGCCTGATGTAGTGCGTTTATTATGGTCCTCTTGTGATCCTCTTAGATCTATTGTGGTCCTATTGTAGAATGTAGAATGTTTAGGAGGGGAGTTAATCACCGCGACCTTTAATCACCGCGATCTATTGTATCTATTCTTGAGTTATAACTCGTTATAACTCATCATACAGTCTCAGGGCTTTAACAAAAGCCAGACTGCTCCACAGAGGCCAGCTCTCCATCCTCGACATCACACGTACCAAAGGTCATGGCACGAATGGTCGTCGTCTCGGCGCACTCAGTGATAAGGTGTTCTGGTGTTTCCCAATTTTAACCACCGAATCTGCATTCACCGTTGTTTCTCAGCTTCAGCCTACTGAGGTGTTCGTTGAGGAGACAGTGTCCTGTTAGAAACCCCGTGACAATCCGAAGATTGTTTTAATTAAATCAAGGAAAACCTTTGATTTTTCTCGGCCATAAGTTCTGAGGAACTTTTTCTAGTGTCTTAGACCGTTGGAGGACACCCATTCCAAGTTACGGATAGAGTCTTCCAGATTCTTCAGTTCCGCTTTCAGTTGGTTCCCGTTTGGAAAACAGAACGGTTCTGGTCCAGTTAGTGGAGTGTTCGCTCCTTTCCTAGCTAGATCATTTGCTTTTTCATTGCCTTCTATCCCTTGGTGAGCAGGCACCCAGAGTAGAAGGATTTTATTTTCTTTGCCTAATTTGTTGAGCTTATCTAGGCATTCTTTGACCAACTTCGAATTGATGGTTACTGAGTTGATTGCGTTAAGTGCTGCTTGACTATCGGATAGGATGGCAATTTCCTGTTTTCGATAGTTCTTTTCTAAGATAAATTGTACGCATCTTTCGATAGCGTAAATTTCTGCCTGAAGGATACTGGGGTAGGTGCCCATTGGTTCGGAGTATTTAGGTTTCGACCCAAATACTTCTATCCCTGTCCCTGCTTTGGTTTTGGAAGCATCAGTATACCACGTGATGGTATGGTCTCTTATATGCTGAGTAAGCGTTTATTCTTTCTTCCCAATCCCTTTTATTACTCAATACTACAGTGAGGTGTTTCTCAAGTTGTAAATTCTTAGTATGCCACTGGGAGTTGGAGAAGTGCAATTTTCTTTTCGAGGGTGTTCCAAGCCCCTGACCTGAACATTCTCCCAGTAGTTTCCGTCAATGACCATTCTAATCATTGTCGCATTGGCATAACTACCGACGACAATATGCAGTGCGTTAGCTCTAGCATGACCTCCATTGCTGATGTTGGACATGTTCTCATGGCATCTGTGATGCAGATGCATGCCAGTCTCAGTAATTGTGGTCCTATTGTGCCTATTGTGCCTACTGCCTAGAACAAAGAATCGCACATCATAGATAAATGAAACAAGTTTAGATTGGAAAGTGCCCATAAGGAAAATGTAAATACTATTTGGCGCTATTCTTGCAACGGTCGCGATCCAAAACTGTTGATAATTTCGGATCGGTTCGGCTTTTTCCGGAATTATGTAGCTAAATATGATTTACAAATTTATTATTATTTTCTTTTAATTTTATAAATAAAATACAGTGTGTTGCATACAAGAAACTTTATTTTATATAAGGACATGTATGAAATACCTATGAAATATTGGAAACCGACGTTATACCAAGATCCACAATGGTTTTTGCAGTTCACAACACAGCTTTTTAAGTTTTTAATACCACTTTTTCACAATTATCACGGGTTTGAGTAAATAAAATTTAAATTAACTCACAAGATAGCATTAATTACTTTGAGAATGGACGCCTTTCGGTATTTTTTCAATGAGGGCGGTTTAAATTTTAAAAGATTTTATAATTTCTGAAGATTATGACTTTGACAAGAGAAAATTATTTCTGTTATTGTTTGGCGGTTGTTCTTAGCAACGGCTACAGCAGCGGCAAAATCGCGTACAACTGTCGCGACCCAGAATTTTGACAGGCTTCCCAATCAAAAATGTATTTCCTTTATCTATGCCGCCAGGCTGTCACACCGACGTAAAGTGTGTTCTGTCTTTTCTCGTTCAGATTGACAGAACCAGCACCTGACTTCGCCTGTCAATCCCATTAGCTTTAAATGCCTATTCAGCTTACAATACCCTGTGAGTAGACTACAGCTTTGACTCTCTTTCTGTTTTTGATTATCAGATCCGTATTAGTATCACCTTTCTAGAAATTTGTATGGTTTGTGGCCATTCTCGTGACTGCTTCTGCAATGCCTCAGAGGGGTTCTGGGCCTACAAATGATATTGATAAGCCTTGTTTGGCCATTTCATCTGCCTTTTAGTTGCCCTTGTATCCCTTGGCTAACATAACATTGATAATCATACTTACTCATATAAACGCACACTAATCTAGAATTTACTTCTGTGGAGTCGAGTACCTTTGCGGTGTTTATTCTCTGTGAAGATGACAACTGAACAATTGTGTCTCCCTGTTTTAGTGGCATATTTACTTTATGGGTTGCCGTTATTACTTTCTTGAAAATTGTGACAACTTTCGATAGGTCTTGTCATTGTTACCTTAATTTATTGGGAACTAAATTTATAATATAAACCGTGGTCCATTTGTCTGGCCCCCTTAAACCGGCTTTTGTGGATATCCAAACTAGGATTCGTTAAAACATTTTTAATATTTAATTTAGATATACATTTCAACGATTCAAGTTATAGATCATACCAAATTAACTTTTAGTCACGTCATTAAGCTTGATCGTCACAGCGTTGCACATTTTTACATATTTTCTTTTAATCAAAATATTTTAGAAAACAAAAATAAATTAATTATAAATATATATTATTTTAACAGTTATCTACATCAACAAAACTCACCTTCTCAACAGCACGTAGGGGACATAAAGGTCCATTACTACCGCTTTCCCTTTCAAAATATTCTAATAAGGTAGCGATTTTTTTTGCAACGGCTATTAAGCTATCTTGTACATTTCGCATTAAAAGAGGTTCTAAAAAGAACAATGTCTCCAAAAAAATCCTGTATGGGTATTTCGCCACTGCAAGAAAATCTACAAAATAAAATAGTTATTTTTTGTAAACACTGCTGCATTAATCCAACGAAAACTACTTGTCAGCAGTTAAGTTTAACAGTTTTACAGATAAACAAATTTGCCTAACGAACAAAAATAATAATCCAATCAAATAGTTACAAGCAAATGTATTGCTTATAGTCATTTTTGCTTCAGATGAATAGGGTACTTTAAGCATTCTATAAAGCGACAAACAAGCTAGTTTTCATTTGGATTCTGCGCAGTGGCATTTTTCAAAATTTTATTTTTAAGGTCCGTCTACACATAAGGTTTTACCTGTCAGTCGTACCAAAATTTATGGCACGCATGTTTGGCATCTCGGCGCACTCAGTCATGAGGTATTCTGGCGTTTCCCCATTTTCCCTACAGAATCTGCATTCGCCGTTGTTTCTTAGCTTCGATCTACTGCGGTGTTCATTGAGGAGACAGTGTCCTGTTGAAAACCCCCTGATAATCCGAAGATTGTTCTTACATAAATCGAGGAAATTCTTTGATTTTTCTCGGTCGCATGTTTTAAGAAACTTCTTCGACTGTCTTAGACCGCTGCAGGATTCCTATTCCAGGCTATGGATAAAACAAATAATTTTTTTGTAAATTTACTTACATTTTTATATCCCATTCATAATAGAAGACTTGTTTTCGGATGTTTTAGTCACTTATTTCCCGATTTATTAGATGATGCCAAGAAATTTTACAATTTTTTTCGAATGGGACCAAATTTATTTCATCATTTGTGTATAAATATTGCAAATGACTGGCATAAAAATTCGACCCCCCCTAAAATAAATTCCTGTATCCGCCCCTGGCCACAGAGGTATAGACATTTTTTAATATTATTATATTGTAAATAATTTTTTAACATTGGAAATGTTAATGATCGTATATGGGGGCCAAATTTCGAGTTTTCTTTCAAGCAGTTCAGCACCGGTGTCTCACTAGCCGCACAGTGGACCAAATTAAAGCATCAACACTTTGTCGCGTGATGCCTAAAGGCCATTTCGCACCAACACAGTGCAGTCCAGTCACGATCAGTCACGTCGGACGTTGCTGAATCCAATCTAAGACAGTCAAAAGAAAAACAAATGCGGGAACGAAAGTTGTTTTCAAACAAAACACGTCGCGTCGTGTACAGTCGCGTCCAGGCAAGTCAGGACTGATAGTGATTCGTTCGGTTTGGTTCGGTCGAATTTTTATGCTAGTCATTTGCAATATTTATACACAAATGATGAAAAAAATAAAAACCGAAACGTTAATGCTTAACGTTTCGGAAAGTTTATCTCTTTCCGTCGTCGGAAGCAAACAAAAATACAAAGAAAAAAGACAAAAAATATTTAAAATATTTAAAATTCAACTATTCGAGAACATTTTAGATTTTTTTTTAAATAGATACGTCTACAAAAACCGTTGACAGTAGTGAAGGTCGAATTTTGACAAGTATTGCGAATTGATACATGGTTGTCAGGTCAGCTAGTAAATTATCCGGAATTTCATGCATCTTTTTTTAGGGAAAAAATGACATCATAGGTTTAAAATATTTTTATTTTTTTTTTAATACAAATTAGAACTTTAGTTTAGCAAATTGGCTAAATTACCGCCAGCGAGTCAATTGCTAGTTATAGCTCTAATAAGCGTGTTTTCATTGCTTTGGTTTGCGTTTTGTTTGGTATGGGTTGGTTAGGGTTGGGTCGGGTTGGTTTTTATCTGTTTGATTGATACTTTTGTTTTGTTTTTGTTCTTTACTTAATTGAAATATACTTTCAGTTGTATATTTAATGTGAAGTTGTCATTTAATAACAAAATTTAAAGCTAATTAGAGTAATAGACATATCGTTAAAAAAAAACAAGTTTAACTTGTACCTAATTTCTAATTTTAATATCCTGTTTCGAAAAGTATCGGTATTCCAAGTATCGATATTTTGGCAATGGATATATCGATGTCTCGATATTTATGCTTACGATCCGAATCGATAATAAATATCGATACTTTTAGAGTATCGGAACATCCCTAGTCTAAACAGCATTAGAATATACACTTAATTTTTTAGAAAATTTGTTAATTTTGAGGGCCATAAAGTGAAACCGATCCCAAATAGCACCAAAAATATAATAAAATATTTTGAAATCTCGTGCAATTTTTTATTTAAAATTCTTATTAAAATGGCTATTTTTTCAAAATAAAAATAGAAAACAGAAAAAGAAAATTCACTGGAACTGGCAACATTGCTTTTCCTTTTGTCGCTTTTACCTCAAATCCAGTGTCAAAATTCTCCATCGTCAAATATGTGTCAAAAACTACTAAAATTAAATTAAAATATTTTAAAATTCTGTGCATAATCTCCATTTTTTTTTATTTAAAACTACTACTAAAAATGGTTACCTACTTTTTGATAAAATAAATGTGTCAGGATACTTCACCGGACCCCCTAAAACTTATGTTTGATAATAAATGATGACGGAACGATGAACGATGGCTGAACAATCTTTACCTCATTTTTTCATTGTTTTTTACTTTTTGGCACTCCAGATTTTAACGAAAGTAGCTGTTAAATTGTTTATGTTTTAAATAAAAACATCCTCTATTTTTTACTGACGAGTAGGTAGTCCCACTAGGTGGTGACACAGAGGCTTAATAAAATCCGAACTAAGTCGAACACAGCCGTACCATTCTTTACCAAGTATTGTGATTTTGTTGCATCCTGTATAAGAAAATATCTTTCTAGAAAATTGCGAAATCGAGAAAGTTGATTCAAAAGACCAAAAAAAAACTCTTAAAATCACCTTCCCAACGGTCATATTCAAAATAATGATTTTTTCCATCGATTGATGTATTTGACTGGGCTAATAAAGGGATTTTTAATTTTAATCTGCTGAAATGATAAAATAATCTCATTCATTATAGTTTCCTACATCATTAATAACAAGATTTATGTATAGGCTCTGTAAAAATGGAAATAACAATTTGTTGCTATTTTTCTTGTTTACATTAATATATGTTAATTGTCAACGTTAAACAAAAATAAAAACAACATTCTCTACGATTCTCCAGTGTACTTGATATAAGCTTGTGGGCGTAATTGATAACAGAATTGATGCGTTACACTTTTTATATAGAGCAAACCTACAGCAACAAAAACATTTAAAAACCGCCATTGGAAAGGTCATGTTATTTAAAAGCTTAAAAAATGAAAAAAAATACTCTGACAAAAAATATAAACTTTAATATTATTCAAAAATGTTAGTGCTGTGAAGTGATGTAGGACTATAATATGCACTTTTATCTAAAATGTCGAAGAATATGTTTATTGAATTACACGCAAGGTAAGTAGATATTATTATATGCATCATACTTAGAAATAATAACTATGACAGATAATTATCATTTTCTTTTCGGTGTCTGAGGGAAAAAATATTAGTAGTGGTAATAAGTTATTTTATTATAATGCAGAAAATCAAAGAACTGAAGGTTATTTCTCAATAGTAATTAGGTTGTGAATAAAATGTACAAGTAACATTTTACGACATTCACGGTAAAAAAAACTGGATTAATTGCCAGTCATTTTGAAGGAAGTAAAATTTAATTTCCTTTGAAAAAACAATCTATTTATGCTACTTACTATTTTTTTGTAGTTTTGTCGTCGGATATAGAAATAATAGACAAAAAAAATAAAATCAATCCTTTCATTATTTGACATAAAAAAATTGTATGTTCAAGAACTTCTTTCTTCTTTATTACAATAACGTCATTTTAAGTAAATTACCTTGATTTTATTATTATGAAAGATAATTGCAATGCATTCATTATTAGAAACGGAAGCTGTTCTTTGCAAGTTCTACAGGGTGTCAAAAAACATGTGTATCTAACTTTGGTGGATGAATCTACAGATAAAAATAGAACAAAAAGTTCCTATCAACATAGGCTATAAAATGTTTCCCAAAGAAATAATAGCCTTCGAAAGGTTAATAGTTATTAATGATACAAGTTCGATACGAACATCATAATGAAACGACGCGTGTAACGTTAAGCCACGAGGCGTAAGCCGAGTGGCTTAGTTACCAGGGGCGGATCGTGAATTTGTGGGGCCCTGGGCTGAAACTACTTAGGTGCCTACATAAGTACTCAACTAATAGCCATGCCAAAAAACATTGTAGTGATCCGCCATATTGGCAGCATTGTCATAAGATTTCCCCCTACAATTACTAAGTGTAATCCCTTTGTTTCTATAAAGTCTTGTAGAATATTAAATAAATGTAAGGCAGTATGACTACTAATTTTAATGAAGGCTACACATCTTCATTTTTCCCCGAAAACAGTATCGTAATACAATAGCAAGTTGGTCATTGTGAGACAGATCTGGTGTAGAATCCATCACAGTTGAATAATATTTTGTGTCTTTGTGTGTTTTTGATAAGTACGATACTCGGTACGATATTATCGGTTTTGGTCGCAGCTCCCGTTGTTCAATGTGTTCACGAATGAATGGATCGAACTCTGCCAATAGCTCCAGACCCCCCATAAAATTACCATTATGTGGATAACCAAATACTCCCTCGGAACCTCTAAATTCTAAGCCTCTTATACTCAAAAATTTTACCACTACAATTACCCGTTTTAGGACATTGTGATAATATTCTATTTCTTTTCTTAATTACTCCTGAAGCTGCTTGTCTAAAACAGACTTATTTTCTTTTCGTGTCAACCACACTAACATTGATTTCTTATGTTCATTAGAATTTTCGTGGGTTTCTAAACAAGTTTCTATGTGTTTCCAATAAGAAATTCCGGTCGTGTATTGAGAAGAGGTTTTAAAAAAAAACAGCACCAACACTGGTTGAATATATTAGCCAAGATATTTCCAGTGATTGACCATTTTTAATTTTTTTAGTGAAATGTATATTTGAAAATGCTCTGTTTTGTTCCTTGTATTTCTTTGTAGAAGCTGAATATGTTTTTTTGATTTTTTATTTTGAAAGTCAGTCATTTCATGTGAGAGGATGTCATTAATAAAATCATTATTTAGCAATTCTGGCCACAAGCACACGTCAACATATTTCTCAAACTCAAAATTAGTATTGTCTAAATTTCTTTCCGTCTCGGTGTTACTATCCTGTCGCTGAACACCAATATCGTTTACCGTTTGATCAGAGGATTGCTGGTAGTCAAGACTTTGCACATTTTCATCGTTTGTTTTTTTCTTGGTGTTGCGATTTGCTACTCCCTTCAAATAGATTCTCTTCAGATAAGATCCTCTCTTGTCGCTTGTTGATGAATTTTCAGCGATTTCGTCGTTCGTTTTTATGTTTTGATTGGAAAAAAGTCCCAATTTTTGCACATTTTTTTCTTTCCTTTTTTCGATCTAGCTGTAATTTGCGTTTCTCAGCTCCACTTTTATACTTTCGACCAGACATTATTGTAAATTAAAACTTTGATTTTTTACTGAAAATAAACAATGAAATTGATAGTTTTCCGATAAATAAACAGTGAACGAGATAATCGTTGCATTTGAATACGTAAATACTTTGTAATGAGTGCAGTAATTAAAAATTATGGTAGTTTTTTTTAATTTTAGATTTTTTTAAATTCATATTATCGCCTATTGTTTTTAGCGGGGTCTGGGGCCCCTTGTAACATCGGGGCCCTGGGCTGCAGCCCAAACAGCCCTTAGGTAGATCCGGCCCTGTTAGTTACACAAGTTTCATTAAAAGTTCGTATCGAACGTGTATCATTCAAAATTTAATCTACGACGCGACACGAGGGACGATCCAAAGAGATTTGATTTAATTTAAAATATCAGAGATATCCTCATAAAAATTAAAATTCAAAATTATTGTTATTAGTCGACGCCGGCGCCGTAGTAACCGTGCTTGTTGATTGTTTCCATTTTGACCTTGATAACTCAATTAGGTATTGATGTTCAATTTTGTGTTAAACGTTCAGTTTTAGCAAAAAGCAAAAAATAATATTAATATGGGTGATTCTGATACTGAAAGTGTCCTTTCGGATATCGAAGGCATTGCGCAAAACGTTGTCGATTCCCTATATACTTCCCGAAAAATCAAGAAAAACGTACGAGCAAGCCTATGTAAAACTTGAAGATTGGTGTAAAGGGAAAGGAATTAAGGAAATTAGTAACGAAAAGGTTCTCCTGGCATATTTTGAACATCTTTCAAAACATAGGAAGGCTTCATCACTTTGGGTATATTATTCCATGCTACGTTCAGTTATATCAGTAAAGAAAAATACAGATATTAGTAAGTACGTCCATTTAATTGCATTTCTAAAAAGAAGACATAACTCGTTTTTTGTTGGAAGCTGATGATAAAACTTATTTCCTGACAAAAGTTTCATTGATAGTTGGACTTGCGGGAGCCTGCCGGCATATCGAGTTGACAAATTTGCAGCTGCAAAATGTTAAAGATGAAGGACAATGCATTCATGTCATTATTCCATTTACGAAAACAAAGATATCACGAGATTTTTTTATAACGAAATGGAATGTTGAAGGAATAAATATGGTTGAAATGGTTCGAAGATATATAGCTATGCGGCCAAGCAACACAGAGCATATTCGATTTTTTGTGGGGTACAGAAATGGAAAATGTATTAAGCAACCCGTTGGCATTAATACTTTGGGGAAAATGCCGTATAAAATAGCATTGTCTCCAAATCTAGCAAGTCTTCCAAATCGACAACAATACACTGTACATTCTTTCCGTAGATCGTCTGCGTCGTTGCTTGCAAATTCAGGAGCGGATTTATTAACTGTTAAAAGACATGGTGGTTGGCGCTCTAACACAGTGGCAGAGAGCTATATAGAAAATTCCAAAGAAAATAAAAAAAAGTGTCATGTAATATTTTGGGTAATAATTAATTTTGGGTAACATTTCTGGCAATGATGGATCTTCAACAAGTTCAAGCACTCAGGAAATAAATTTACTTTCTAAAAATTCAACTCACCTGTCATCGTCTGGAATTAATTTAACCAATTGTACTGATATTATAATTAATGTTTATAATAAATAAACGTATTTAGGTAACTTTTTTTGTTTGTATCTTAATAGCACCAGTGCTATTATGAAAGCAATAATGACATCCAAATGACAATGCTAAATGTGTCATAATGACATTGTCGTAGATTAATAAAATAATATATTTTATTTATTTTTAATGTGTGTAAGAGTACCAAATTTCAAGAAAAACGGTTTACCAATGTTCTTAAAAATAATAGTTATTTTTTATACACATATAAGACTAAGTTTCATGTTAAGGGCTTAAGATTAATTTCGGTAGACGATAATGCAATTTTATCGTTGTCTATAAAACAATATTTTTTTCCATAGCGAGTTACGTTTTAAAAAATATTCAGAAATTATTATTTCCAGGAATTTATTACGAGTAGAAAAAATATTGTGCTGGGTTGGCGTTGGTTTCTATGTAATTTGACAAATAAATAAAGCTGTCTCTTTAGTTGTAAGTTTTGAGTCGATATTTCTTAATTCTCTTTCGTGTCGATTGCTGATTGAATTGGAGCCAGAAATGGCTCAAAACGAAATAAGTAAATTACCAAAAGATATTCAGGCTGAGGCGACAAACGCCATATCCAAACTACTTCCATTTAAATCCCGAATAACTTATGAAAAGGAATACAAAAATTTTCTAAAATGGAAGCAATTAAAAAACGTGCGAGAAGAAATAAAGTTTTAACCTATCCTCGCTGTTAAAGTATCATTTAATCTACCCTTGCAGTTAACGTACTATTTTATCTACTACTTTTGATAGATATAAGGTAATTTAAACAGTTGCTATGAAAAAAACAAAATATATTATTTTTATTTAACCTTGCGAGGGCTGTAATTTCTTCTGGAAGTATTTGGGGACATATGTTCATAGGAACTTTTTGTTTTATTTTATCTGTAGAATCATCTACAGAAGTTAGATACACTTTTTTGACACCTTGTATATAATTTGCCAAAATAAAATCTGAGTATAGAAGAAATATACAAAGTAATTTATTTAATTTTAACTTGCAAAATAAACAAAATAAATATATAATTTGATTATATAAATTGGTTGCAGGAAATTGCGCAAATTTCTAGTTGATCCTTATTAAAAAAAACTATATTTGTTTAAGAAAACTTAAAAAAAAATAATAAAGAAAGATTAATAAAAAATAAATAAAAAACTGAATAAAAAACTAAATAGTAAACTAAAATAAGACAAAGCAAAATGTTCCCTGGCACTGTAATACTATCGATTGTACTAAAAATATTGAACAAATTAAATGTATCTTTTCCTTATTAACCATGACGCCACTAAAGGG